CCCCAAAACCCCAAAACCCCAAAACCCCAAAACCCCAAAACCCCTAAAATTATTTAAAAATGATAAAATAAGAATTAAATTAGCTAGAATATGTCTGAGATAAATCCTATTGACCATGTGATGAGTAAGTAGGACATTTTGGATAGTCCAAACCTACTGGAACTTACTGAAAACAATAATTTCTAGGCATGAACACATTCTTAGGACCTGGAAATTTCTTAATCTCAAGAACAGGGAGATTTGCAGAATTCAGAAACCCAAATATGATAATCCAAGGTAATTTAAGTTGTAAAACTCAGGATGATTATTCGGGAATTTTGCGAGGCAGTTTACCAAATCCTATCTCCTGTGCTGACTCTGACTATCATTTAGGATCGAAAGATATTGATGAGTACAGCAGAACCGACCTCACTGAACTCAGTACTTGTTGTTCATTAACTTTTAGCTAAAATATTACAGGATCAAGACATGAGAGATAATGCTAAATAACTTAGAAACCACCAAGAGGATGATTAACTCAATAATGAGAAAGAAGAAGCTGTATGGCATTCCTAGTTCAGTGACTATGAATTTCGAAAGTAGCCAGAACAAGACTTTTGACCAGCCCCTTCATTTCAAACCGAAGAAAACTGTGAAGGTAAGCTAGTTTTGTATAATTTAAAACTTTATAGAAGAAAGGTAAGGATTCCAATTAAGAAGGGAAGGGAAGCAACCAAATTCACTAAAATGTAGTTTAGCAAGAATAAGCTTTACATGAGATCTTTATAAGCAGTTATACTGTGTGTTTCTAGTACAGTATGGATTAGAGTAGATTACCGAATCTCTCAATATGTTCTGGACACTTCAAAGAATTGATTCTATCTTTTTATATAACGTAAAACTTCTCATCTCAAGTTCTGATAGGAGTCCTGGTTGAGATGGTTGCTGAGAGGGTGCTGTCTAATGGATTTTATTTTGCTGACTTTGTTACTGTGGGAGATTAAGTGATGGAATGATAGTATTCTGGTTCCATCTTTGATTAATTTTACTCTCAATTACAAAATCCCTGTATGAATAGCATTCCATAGTTCCTTAACCCTAATTCTGGCTTTGGCATAAGTACTTTGGTACAGAATGGATTCCTAGACAAATTATCATCTTCATGTTGCTAGGAAGGGTCAGAGAGATCTAGTTGAAAATTCCCAAACGGGGATTCTAAAATAAATATGCTTAGATATCTTCAGGTCCCAAGAAATTCTTACCAGTTTTTAGAGCTAAAATAACAACAAAAAGCGAAGCATGTTTACTATAAAGGGTAATTTCACACCTGCTGTGGGAAGATACTCGCCTAAATTCGACTCAGTCGAGAGACGAGCTCCATGTTTCGTTGGAAATTGGGGCAAACAAATGGAGCGAAAAGTAAGCTACAATGATAATCCGATTTATTTCGGCCTATCCCAACCTGATTTAGGCTAATTTTAGCAATCTAGAGACAGAAAGATGGCAAATAACCGGACTCTGAAAGAAGATGAAAAGAAGCTGGTCTATAACGGGGTGCATATTTGTCGCAGATTTCTCTCAAAAGGTAAATTTCAGCTAAAATTTTTAGAAAGGAATAAAATTCCTCGAAAATTGAGAATTATTCGGTCAGAAATACCTCATGATGTAAAATAGCCCTGAGAATGGAAAGGTACCTCAAAAGGCGCCTGAAAAAGAAATTGTGCCATTGGAGACTTTACAGAACCGTTTTACAGAGAAATTGAAGTAATTATACATTTTGAAATGTTATAGTAATAATTCTAAGTTTGCTATCAAACATAAGATCATTAATAAGAAGTACATTATCGTTCCAGAGAAGAAGAATTGAGTCAGAATTCATTCGATCAAGCAAGTAAGAGAACAGTGCTACTCTAGACTCCATTCGAGACATGTATAAACCCTGTGCAGAGCATCAGAAGGTTTAGCAAGCAGGTAAGAGGTAGATCTTGATGTTTAGCTAGCTTCACAGAGAAATATTTTGACTCCTCAGCCATCATCTGCTCTCAGCATTGGGCTTGGAAATGTCGAGTCAAGCAGAAGGATCTTGAAGAAGTATTATAAAGCTGGTCTAACTCTAGGCATGTCCCACAGGTGATCTTCAAGAATACCAAGTCAAGGGATTCGAACATATTCGATTTGACCAAAGTGAGGTCTATATAGTCAGCCTTGTTGAGAAATTGCATTTATTCAATTGAAACTGAGTGAGAAGGGGTTTTGGGGTTTTGGGGTTTTGGGGTTTTGGGGTTTTGGGG